ACGTGTTATGACACATATCCGACTAGTCTGTGTTGTAATGCAATTTTTCAGCTAGATTTCGACAGTGGTGGCCGGAATCTGGCACTGTAGGTGGTGGTTTTTGTCATTTTATAAAACTTTTATATATTTAGGTGTTTAATTAAATTAGCAAACCTAAGGAGTTTTATAAAAAAATTTAAATTTTATCTCGTAATACTTCTCTATCCAACTACTCAATAGTATTTCCAAATGATTAACCAACGAGACTATGAAAAGCAGCTAAAGCTTTCGGCTATACCTGGGCAAGGGACCGGTCCCTTGGGACTGGTCCCAAATGGGACCAGTCTCTCATGGGCCTGGGACCGGTCCCAGGCCCATGAGAAAAATCAGGACCCGGACCAGGCCTTAGGCCTGGTCCGGACTGGTCCCATGGGCCCAGGACCGGTCCTAGGACCGGTCCCATGGGGTTTGGAAAATTTAATTTTCCCCCCTCAATTTTTTTTATATTTTGGGGGCAAAACGAAATTTTATAGGGGGTTTTTAGTATTTTTTAGGGGTTGATTAGTAAGTTTCTAAAAATTTAATTAATTTTAAAAAATAATAAATTAATAGTTAATTTTAATTTTTAACATAAATATAATATTCACATTTCACACATTCACGCTTCACAAATAAACAATTAAATATTTTTTTTATTAAATTATTCATCTTCAATTTCATCGTCAACACTAGTTACATTATTCAAATCTGTATTCCTAAAGAGTTCGAGTAGTTCGGGATCTTCAGGGTGCTGTTGTAGTCTTCTTTCTCCATGAGTCCAATCCCGTAAACACGTTATCACTTCAATCATCTCATCGGTTAAAGAACATCTTCTGTCTTCAACAATCCGACCACTCGTTGAAAATGTTGACTCGGATGCAATTGTAGAAACCGGCACAGATAAAATGTCACGTGCCATTTGGGATATAATGGGGAATTGACTTTCTTGTTGGTTCCACCATTGAAGAATATCCATGTCAAGTTGCTCCTTCATCGTCATAAAGGTCAAGTCCACCTGTAGGTAGCGAGTCATCTCATTTGGTCTATGTATGTACGAGCTGGAGCTAGAGCTGGAGCTTCCGCCACGTCCCACATACGCCCACTTGCTCGACCATTGAGGGGGGGCTACATCAAGGTCCTGATCGCCTCTCCTAGACGTTCCACTTCCACTTCCACTTCTACTTCCATTGTATCTGTTCTCATATAAAGAAAAAAGCCTATCCAATTTGTGTTTAAAGTCAGTCAAATAAGACGTATAATCATGTCCTAAATAATGGCCTAACTCAGTAATTACACCGTTAACTACGGATAATTTAAACCTAGGATCTAGAAAAAGGCCTAATCCATATAAGAATGGAATATCTAACCAATATCTCTTATATTTTTCTTCCATACTTGAAACAATTTCACTAAAAATGTTATCATATCTATATTGATCAAAAGTTTTAGCAATTTGAACTAAAATATCTAACACTAAATTAGTAGTTGGATAATAAATACCACTTAATGTATTAGTAGCATCATAAAAAATTTTAAGAAATGAATAAAAAAGTTCACAAACCGCCCAATCATCATAGTTGACAACTTCCTCTGGATAGTTCTTCCGGTTGACGAAATCTGTAATTTGTTTCGCGGTTGGCAAAGCTTTTTCCAACATCAAGTAGGTAGAGTTCCAACGGATAGGCATGTTTGTACATAACTTCAAAGGTCGAACCGGTGGGTCCTCTTGCTTACAATATTTGACGTACTCCTGCCATCTTTTATTGCTACCGCCGACGATAAATCCGATAGTTCTACGCACCCTCTCAATCCTTGAATGTATAGTATCTAAACCTGCTTTAACTATCAAATTGATGATGTGACAAGCACATCTCTGGTGATAAAATTTGCCTTCACCAAGCGGATCCAATTTCTTTTCAAATAAAGATATTGCCGCGGTGTTAGCAGCTGCATTATCAAGCGTTAGCGCTACAACTCTATCAGTTAATAAATATTCTTGCAAAACTTCAAGAATCGTAAAATAAATAGTTTCAGCACTATGTTTTTCATATAATGGTTTAAAACTTATCAATTTTTGTTGTAAACCCCAATTATGATCTAAGAAATGTACTGTAACAGTTAAAAAATCGGTTTTTGATCTACAAGCCCATATGTCTGATGTAAGTGCAATAGATATATTCCTAAAATTTTGAAATTCGTTTTTAAGTTTATTATTTATTTTGTTATAAAGTTTTAGTATATCTCTTCTACTTGTAGTTCTACTAACAGGGGTATATGCTGGACAAAATGCAGTTTTAACCATATTAACAAAAAAAGGATTTTCAGATAAACAAATGGGAGAGTCTGTAGCAACTATATATCTTGCTATTTCCTCTCGTGCAACATGTGTATTGTATTGCCATGTTGAGAGAGTTGAGGATTGTGGATTAAAATTAAGTTGAGTTTGAATTTGTCTACCTGATCCGCTTGAAGATGCATTTATTTGGGGATGCTTCTTCTCTACGTGTCGTCGCATCGTCGAAGTCCCCTTCTCAGCCCCAATAATGGTTCCACATAAATTACATATCCCACACGATTCTTCCCCCTCCCCATTTGTCTTTGGCCGTTTTGATTTGGTGAAGTATCGCCAGACATCGGACACGACCCTCTTTGACGGTCGGGGGGGTTGGGCTATGTCCGTGCCCGTTGACTCGCAGCTCACATGTGTTTGGCTACACCTCGTCCCGGCCGAATGTGGTTGTGGAATTACAGCTGCATCCTCTGGAGGAAATGGTGAAAATGGATTGAAGGCTTCAATTTCTTCGGTGGATGGAACGTAAAACTCATTTGGGGAAGACATTATAAATTTATGATAAAATAATAAATAATTAAAATGAAAAGAAATTAAATAATAATATGAAATTATGATGATATTGAAAAATAGAAAAAAAATTTGAATAATATAAATAAATTATAAATATAAATTGAATGAGAAATTGATTGGAGATTTGGAGGAGATTGAGAGAATGAAAGAATGAGAGATTGAGAGAATGAAAGAATGAGAGATTGAGAGATTGGTGTGAAAAAAATTAAAGGTTTTAGGGTTATTTATAGTGTAGTTGTGGGGGGGAAAATGAAAAAAAAAAAACTTATATTATATAAATAATAAATGTAACCGTTGCAGCCAACGGTTATTATTTTTTTTTTTAATAAATTTTATAAAATATCATTTTAGTCCTTAAATTTATACTGATTTTAGGGGGTTTAATGTAATTTTATAAAAGATTAAATTGATAAAAGACAAATAAACTTTTGGGCCCAGGCCCGGGCCTTGGAGGAGGGCCCGGTGGAGGGCCCGGGCCCTCCTCCTTAGGCCTGGTCCCGTTTTGGGACCAGGCCTCCTAGGACCGGTCCTCCCAAGGATCGGTCCTAGGCCTGGTTTTTGGAGCTGGGCCCAGCTCTACTTTCGGCTATTTGCATTTCATTTGGGCGAGAATTATTGCAATGGTGGAGCCAATACTTTTATAAAAGAAGCAGAAGTGTGTCTTCTTTCATCATCTCCAATAAATCATACTTTAATAGTGTAATTATTGTAGTGTAGCCAAATAATTAAATAAAAGTTGCCGCCTTCTCAGCTTCTCTCGTCATCTCCCATAAATAATACAAGTGACTTACAATTTTTTTTATCTTTATAGCCGGAAGAGTGAGTCCTGATTGAATGATGGAGTGGCCTTGGTTTCCACTTTCCACGTTTCTCACAGCGCACTAAATAATTAAATTATCTTCTATTTATGAAGGTAACAATGCATTTATAATGGCATAGAAAACCCATTTTCTGAGTGAGGAAACAAGAAATAATCTTTGGACAAGAAACAAATAATTTGTTTTCAAAAACTAATAAAATAGAAACTCAAATAAAATAATGAATAATACTACATTTATAAACTTTTCTTATAATTTTTCTTTTTTTTTTTATATTTTTGATGTGATAATTTATAATTAATTAATCGAAACTTATTAGATAAATTTTATTAAGAAAAAAATATTGCACATTGACAAGAGAGACATCAACGCCCACACTCAATAAATGAAGACTTGGAATTGACTTAAAAAATGATGGAAATATGACACTGACAAGGCAGACATCAAGCCCACACTTCAACAAAGGAACTGAAATGAAGACTTGAGATTGACTGAAACAATCCAGACAGAAGATACTACTGGATTATGAGAGCTAATCGATGGCTGTGATTTATACCTGTAACATTTTTCAAGTCTGCATCAGCTTCTCATAGATGTAAGTCATATTATCATTCACAGCTGTCAAAGAGCCTTTGCGTTTGGTTCGTTCCTTCCCCTGCTTTGTCATTTTGTTAGCATGCCTTAGCAATTTTAAGTTTTTTCATTGTTAAGTTTGTTAATTATCTTCTAAGTTTTTACTTCCGCATATTTTATTTGCTTTGTTCAGCGCTATATTTCTTGATTATATTTTACTTCTGCACATATTTTATAGCTCTTCAAAAATAAATCCAGTTTTTTCAGAATCCCACAAAAAAAAAAAAAATTAAAAAAAAAAAACTTGTTTGATGTATAGATCCTCTTAATTTTATTGTGTTGAAGATGAAATTTATCTGAGTTTATAATTATTTCCATAATTATAAACTCAAAAAATTCAGTTTTGTTTGTGTTAATTTTTGAATTATTTCTCAATCTTGTTTCTTTTTCTTCTTACTCTAAATATTTATATCTTTGAAAGACCAGCCAGGACAAAACTCGTCTTTTTCACATACTGCTGATTCAACAAAGCTTAGTTGATTGTTGTCTTTCGTGACTTTCGTCCCTCAGGTTGGGGTTTGCCTTCGTTACAACCAACAACAAAAAAAAAAAAAAAAAAAAAAGCAACGGTTTTTTTTCGTTGTGCCTTTTCTCATAAACATTAGCGTTCTCTTTTTTTCAACCAACTAAAAAAAAAAAAAAAAAGAAAGAAAGAAAAAATTGCCAGAAATAGGTAATGGCGGAAATAGCTACTGCTGTTGCTTCCGAAGCTGCGAAGAAAGCTACAGAGACAGCGAAGGAATTCATTTCGCAGAAGATTTCCTATGCGCTCAAATACCAGAGCTACATAAAGAAGCCAAAGGAGCAAGCTGAGCGGCTCAGAAGAAGAAGAGATGATGTGAAAGAAGATGTTAAACTTGCTGAAAGACAAGGGGAAGAGATTTATAATGAAGTTAATGACTGGCTGACAGGCGTGGAAGATTTCATGGAACGTGTAGCAAAGCTCGCTGTTGATGAAGATAAAGCAAAGAGGCGCTGTTTCAGAGGGCTGTGTCCTGATTTGATTAAACGATACAGGCTCAGCAAGGAAGCAGAGAAGGTGGCAGAGGATGGTGCCAAGCTCTTGGGAAAAGGAAACTTCGCAAGAGTTTCCCACCCCGTTATTCTACAGAGGACGGCATCCGTTTATATTAGAGGCTATGAGGCCTTTGATTCCAGAATGCCAGTTTTGCAGGAAATTATGGAAGCATTAAAGGATCCTAATGTTAACATGATTGGGGTGTATGGGATGGCAGGCGTGGGCAAAACTACAACGGTGAAAAAAGTAGCTTGGCAAGCCAAGGAAGATAAGCTATTTGATGAGGTGGTCATGACTACAGTAACACAGACTCCAGACTTTAAGAAAATCCAAGAAGAAATTGCTGATCAATTAGGCCTAACATTCGTTGAGCCGAGCGTATCCGGAAGATCTCTTCGATTACGTGACAGATTTAAAAGGGAGAAGAGGATTCTAGTAATATTAGATGATATATGGGCTAAGATTGATTTGGATGCAGTGGGAATTCCTTATGGAGATATTCACGAGGGAATTGGCCAGGAAAAAGAAGTCTGGAAAGACAGAAAAGATGATGAGAGGCGATACAAGATATTGCTTACGTCTAGAGATCAATATGTTTTACGCAATCATATGAATATTCAAAATAACTTCTTGGTTGGTCTTTTATCGAGCGAAGAAGCATGGTATTTGTTTAGAAAGATTGTGGGCGATTCTGTTGAAACCTCTGATTTTCGACCTGTAGCAATAGAGCTGGTCGGGAAATGTGCCTGTTTGCCGATTGCTATTGAAACAGTAGCAAAGGCTCTAAAAAGTAAGAGTCTTCCAGTTTGGGAGGATGCCTTGGGTCAACTAACAAGATCTAATCCCAGACAAATTGAAGGAATGGCTGAAAATGTGTGTTCTATTATAGAACTGAGCTACCATTTTTTGAAAAGTGAGGAAAAATCACTATTTCTACTCTGTGGTTTGTTTAATGGAAGTCGCGGTATACTCATTAGTGACTTATTAAAATATAGTATGGGTTTGCATTTGTTTCGAGATGTTTATACCTTTGAAGATGGAAGAAATAGATTGCTTACGCTGATCCATAATCTTAAAGCTTCGTCTTTGTTGTTGGATGGTATCACCAATTTTTCTGTTAAAATGCATGACATCATTCATGCTGTTGTTATATCAATTGCATCCTCAGATGAGTTTATGTTTAATATTAAAAATGTTGGTGATTTGAAAGACGTATTGGAGGAAAAAATACCCAAAACTTCAACTGCTATAACTTTGCCCTATGGAGATTTTCATGATGAGCTTCCTGAGAGTTTGGAATATCCGAAGCTCAAGTTGTTTTATCTATTCAGCCAAAATCAGTCTCTACAAATCCCAGACCTCTTATTCCAAGGGATGAAAGAACTTCAAGTTTTGGATTTGACTGGAATTTGTCTCCTACCACTACCTTCCTCACTCCGCTGCCTAGAAAACCTTCAAACACTGTGTTTGGACGGTTGTCTACTAGGAGACATAGCAATAGTTGGAGAGCTTAAGAAATTAAAAATTCTTAGCCTCGTAGACTCTGACATAGAAAAGTTGCCTGGAGAAATTGGACAATTGACTCGGTTGAAGATGCTAGATTTGAGCAAGTGCTCAAATTTGAAAGTAATTCCACCGAATGTCATTTCAAGCTTGTCTCGATTAGAAGAACTATATATGGGCAATAGCTTCCTTCATTGGGAGATTGAAGGACTAATCAACAATCAAGAACGAAAGAATGCTAGTGTTCTTGAGTTGAAGCAGTTGTCTTGTCTTACCACTCTAGAGATACACCTTCATGATCTCCAGATTATACCACAAGACTTGTTTTCAGAGAAGTTGAAAAGATATAGAATACTTATAGGAGATGTGTGGGATTGGAGATGGTATGCTACTTATGGTGAAACCTCGAGAATGTTGAAAATCAAGCTCAACAACAGCATTTCCTTGATCCATCGAGTTAAAATTTTGTTGAAGAGAACTGAAGAACTCCATTTAGAATTGAATGGTGTTAAAAATGCTATTGATGAATTTGACGAGGATGGTTTTGCACAATTAAAGCATCTTCATGTGCAAAATGGTCATGAGCTCTTGTATATTTCAAACTTTGTTCCTACCAAAACTGTCTTCCCAAAGTTAGAGTCATTGTTTCTTCATAACTTGATTAAATTAGAGAAGATATGTGATGGCGAACACTATGCGGAGTCTTTCAGCAAACTAAGAATTTTGAAAGTTGAAAAATGTGATATGTTGGAGCATCTCTTCTCATTCCATGAGCATAATAAGTTTTCACAGCTTCAACAAATTGAAGTCATTGATTGTAAGAACCTAAAGGAGATTTTTGGTGAAGAGAGTTTAGGCTTGGTGGTTGAAAACAAAAGGAATAGTAAGCTTGAGTTCACTCAATTGCGTTCCCTAGTATTACAATGGCTACCACAATTCATAAGTTTTGGCATGAAGGTATATTTTCTCTTTTTCTTCTTTTATTTTCTTTTCATGTATAAAAGGTGTTTTGTAATTAGTTTCTAAGTTATTTATGGAGCGAGATTTGCTTTTGCAGGTTTTTTTGCCAAGATTGGAGAACTTGAAACTGTCCTCAATTAAAATTGAGGATATATGGATTGATCAACCTCAACAAATGTCTTCCTCTTTTCAGTCGTTGAAAAGCTTAACTGTAGAGGAGTGTAATGGTTTGAAATTTCTTTTTTCATCCTCCATGGTCAAAAGTTTTATGCAACTCCAAAAGCTTGCAATATGTGAACGTAAGTCAATGGAAGCAGTGATATTAGACTCAGAAGGATTAGAAGTAGAAGATAAGACAATTGGTATGAGTTTTCCTAAATTGATTTACCTAAAACTTGCGGGTCTTCCAAAACTCACAAGATTTGGCATTGGAAATTCGATTGAATTTCCCACCTTGATTGAGCTTCACATTGAGAGTTGCTCCAATTTGAAGACATTCTTCCCCAATTTTTCTGGTGAACCTAAAGAAGTGAGCTTGGAGGACTATATTATTAATATAAATCCCCTTTTTGACGACAAGGTACAGTTAATTCTTCTTATTGAAAAGCTTCCTTACTTGTTGGGCTCAAAATTTTAACCTTTTCTGTACCTATTAATGTCACCATTATCTGTAATTAATGAGTAGAAATTTACTTATAGATATCTTCTTTTTATTTTTGTATTTTAAAGAAAGACAAAATCCTTCTAGTGTCTTCTAATTTTTGGTCTCATATATATGCCCAGAAATTTACATGATGAGATGTTTTTTGCAGGTTGCTTTTCCAAATTTGGAGGAGATGATACTCTTACACCTGGATAGCTTACAGTTGATATGGCACAACGAACTCCATGGAGATTCCTTTTGCAAATTAAAAAAAGTGAGAGTCGAATTCTGTGAAATATTGATGACTATTGTTCCATCTAATAGTACTCAACGACTTCTTTCCTTTCACAATCTAGAAACATTAACTGTTATGCACTGTTGGAATATGAAAAGTCTATTTCCAGTTTCCACAGCTACTGGTCTTTTGCAACTTAAACAGCTTAAGATGATCTCTTGCGGGTTGGAGGAAATTGTTGCTAAGGAGGAAGTAGATGAGACCCCTAGATTTTTGTTTCCCCAATTAACCTTCCTCATGCTTGCTAATTTACCAGAACTCAAATGTTTCTATTTGGGGTTGCATACAACGGAGTGGCCAATGCTAGAGTTTTTGGGGGTGTTTCATTGTGAAAAGATTAAAATATTTGCTTCAGAATTTCCTAGGGATCAAAATACAGATCAAGACAGTCAACCTTCCTTTGATTTGTCTGGAAAGGTATGAATTTATCTTTATCTTTTTTTTTTTTTTTTTTAATGTAACATAATCATTTAGATTACTGTAACATGTTCACGATACAAATTATGTGGCATTGTACTAATTATTTCCTATTCCTTTAATAGACATCTACAATTGAGGTGATATATGTATTTTGTGTTGCATACTTGCTAGGGGTGTTCATAAATGGCTAACCAAACCAGTTAACCGATTTTCTTAACCAAACCACTTTTTCGGTTCAGGAATTTTCTTCTACCGAAACCAAACCAGTTAAGAGGAAAATCGATTAATTGGTTTTGAACCAGTTTTCCCTTTAACTTATTTTTTATTTTGATTTTTCCCTAATTTCAACTGATTTTATATTTTATTATTTTTATAATAAACCAGTTTTATTTTTTTATTTTTTATTTTATTATTCTTATAATAAACCGGTTCCCATAATCTCGTAAACCAGTAACCGAACTGAAAAACTGGTTTTTGTATTTCTTTGAACCAATTTGGTTCAATTTTTGCATTTTTTTGAACACCCCTAATACTTGCTTGTAAAATACAGTCATAGAGTAAAGTTTTTTTTTTTTTTTTTCCTTTTCAAACTGAACAACAGTAAACTAATTGGTTGGTCTTGTTTCATTGGTTAGATATTATTGATTTTTGCGAATTAAGAAGTTTGTTTTTGTTAATTTATGTATGTTTATTGTTTCAGATGATAAGCTGTATATTTATTTAAAACATATAATTACTTGGGGAAATTAGATGATTAAAAAAAATTTCACTGATTTTGTATTGATTACAAGATTTTCTTTTTTTTTTTTTTTAAATTTGTTCCTTCCTTCTCCCTATTACATTTCCGTTTTACATCAATATAGTACAATTGTTTTTTTTTTTTTTTTTAAACAAAAAAATTTGGTCACATAGTATTGCTTGCTTATCGTTTCCTAAAAATTAATCAAATGGAGCTGACTTCTTGTTGGTCAATAACATGAAAATTTTATTATATGTGTTTACCATATGCTCATTCAAACCTTCTTGCTTGTTCATCCGTTTTGAATTACAGGCTATGCCCAGTTTGGAATCATTGTACTTAGATGTCAGTCACGTTAGACTAATGTGCCACAACCATATTCCATTTGAAGGATTCTGCCAACTAAAAGAACTTTTTTTGGCCAAGTTAGATGATGAATCAATTCAATTTTTCTATGGCTTCCTCAAAAGGTTATTCAAACTGGAAACACTGGCTCTAATGCATAGTAGTTTCAATGAGCTATTCCCAAATGAAATAGACGCAACGAAAGAAGATTCTCAAGTGGATCCATTTCTTCCAAATCTTAGCTACCTGAAATTATTGAGCTGTAATTATTTGACACATTTATGGGCATCCTCAACATCTTTCACAAATCTCACAACACTGGAAGTAGAGGATTGTTATGGATTGGTAAACATATTTACATGCTCAACTGTCAAATCTCTTGTCCAACTCACAAAAATGACAATAAGAGAATGTAAGTTACTGAGAGAGATAATAGCAAGTGAATTTGACCAGGCAGAAGAAGAAATCGTTTTTTGTCGGTTGAAAACTTTGGAGCTTCATTGTTTAGCAAGCCTCACACGCTTTTGCTCAGCAAATTATGCCTTCAAATTCCCATGTTTTGATCAAGTAATTGTGAGTGAATGCCCAAAATTGAAGATCTTTACTCAAGGAAGTTTAAGCACACCAAAGCTAAATAGGGTGCGACCAACACAAGAAATGAATGGAGAATATGTTTGGAAGGAGGATCTCAATTCCACCATTGAGCAGATGTTTATAGATATGGTATTTACTACAAATCTTTTTATCTTCGCTACCACCTTTGCTATTAATATTAGTTTACATGTCTTTACTACCATTAAATTGGATATGATTGTATAATTTATAAGTAATTATAATTCTCCTTAATAAATATATGCCTTAAGTTAAATAAAACCAACCCTGCATCTTTATCACGCTAAAAACCGCCACATTTCATCTTGTTCAACTTTCCACTGCTACAGTTACTGGCGGATTTTGTATCTCTAGCGGAAGCCAGTTCAAGCGGCACTGGTTTTTTCTAGCTAACGACGTCACAAGCCACAGAGCCACACTGTCCGTCACAAGTGGCAGGTAAGCAAAATCATTGTGCTCGAATTTTATACTATATTTTAAAAGCGAATGTTTTGTATAGTCGTGATTTGATATTTGTGTTTTAGAACTGAAGCTTCCTTTGGTTGTGACTTTGAAAATTATTTTTTAACTGAAGCTTCAGTTTGATGTTTGATATTTTTGTATATAAGACCTGTAGATGTTTTTGATTGATCAGGTGATGCTGCAGAGTTGTTTGATAAATTGCTTGAAAGAGATGCATTTTTTTTTTCAACATAATGTTACATGGAAGATTTCTTAATTAAATTCTTATAATTATTTAGTAAAACAAAATTATTTCTTTGTACTCCCAACACAGACTCGATCACCAATTTCATTTATCTATAACAAAATTAGGCAGATCTGTTTGTATAGAATAAGGCTCTGAATGGGGATACATAGCAGCTATCACAGGTGATGGATACGGCTTTTATTTTATTTTTCAATTCTAGTGTAAGACATGGGCGCCTACTTTTACTTTTATTATTTTATTTTCCTTGATAAAGTTTGATACCCAGATTAATGTTATCAGTTTGATTTATTTCCTTACTATTTCATTGGTGTAAAACTTGCATTCTTGCTTTTGACTATATCAAAAGCACTGTGTTGCCTGCATATTCAGGATGATGATATACAACGAATGAACAAGATCCAAATGGAAGTGAGAGGCAACGAGACAGCTATGATTGTGTTGGGGTTCCAGCAGGAAGGCTATCCCCAGAGAGGGTTAACCATTCTAGTGCTGCTCCAAGTCAGGAGGTATGAGCTAAAGTGTTTTTTAGATTTTTTTTTTGCCCGTAAGTTTCTTCAGATTTCCTCATTTTTCTTTTGTTTATTTCGGGATGCCTTCAACGGGCACTTAAGTAATGATTAATTATTTCCCTCTCATCTTCAGTTGCTAACGACTTCATCAATATCATTAACCGTCTTCCAGGGTAGTGGAATCTAATTTTCTAGAAGTTTTCATTTTGAAATTATTTGTGAATTGAGTGGAATGGAAAAACAAATGCTGACTCAATAAACTTTCATTCCTCTGTTCATTTTTGTTATTTTCTAGTCATTATATTGCTATGCATTTGTGAAATAAAATTGCAAATGAGAAAAACCTGTAATTATTTTTTCCCTTTACTGATGCAGAGTAGTTTTGATATTGCTGAGGACGATGAAGGTACAACTAGTCCTACTTTGAAGGTTACTGCTCAATTAGATATTGGGCAACAGTTTCTTACAAAGACTTACCAGGGGCATTGGACCAAGAACTGGAAGGAGTGACGGTGAGAATTCAGGGAAACTGTCTCTTTACCACGTCATGCTGTTTCTGAGGATAAAAAGTTTTTGAGTGATTCTCTAATACTCATTAATGTTTTTTCTCTTAAGAAAGTTACATGTGAAGGGGACAGGTAATCTTGATTGTAATTGTAGTTATATTTTCTCCTTTTTTTTTTTTTTTTTTTTTTTTTTTTTTTGGGTACCAATAGGTTGTAAATATGAATTTATGATTTGGTTATTTTTTCCTTCTTTGTTCGGTTACAAAAAATTAGCTATTATACTGTTCAATATATACTATATAGCTTTTTCTAAATTTACCTGAAAATTAAATTTTGACACGTTCTGCTTAATTTTTCCAAAGTTGATCTGAATTCTTAGATATATTGTTTAGCTAATAATTGAATTCTAAATTGTTAGATTCAATTATTCAAAAGGAATTAGTCTTTCAGTGTTCTTCCATATTGCACATCTTTATTTGTGAATGGGCTCTGTAAATTTGTTCATGTAGATGCATATATAGTTGTATGGAGACACATTAAACTTTTTGACATATATGCTGCCTTCAATTTTTTGGCCTGTCGAAAGCATCATGTAAAGTTAGGACAGAATTATTTTGGATTGCTTTGAACCTATGTTGTGCGAAATGCCAGCTTAAAAATTCAAGGACACGAATATTAACATTAGAATAAGATTTGGTTTTTGGTGGTGACACATGATACACCATATCAAAATGTTTTCTTTGTATCAAAAGCCTGCCCTCTGCACAAAGCTATACATTGAATTTATATATTTATATATATGTTTCTTGTTTTGACAATATCAAAAGTACTGTGTTGCCTGCATATTCAGGATGATGATATACGGCAAATGGACAAGATCCAAATGGAAGTGGGAGGCAAAGAGACAGCTAAGATTGTTTTGGGGTTCCAGCAGGAAGGCTGTCCCCACAGAGGTCTAACCACTCAAGTGTGCCCTAAGTCAGGAGGTAGTATATTCTAGTTTTTTTTTTTTTTTTTTTTGCCTTCAAGTTGTCATCAGATTTCCTCATTTTCCTTTTGCTTGTTTTAGGATGGCTTCAACGAGCTTCATGATTTGGAGAGTTCATTTGCTTCATTTCCTATTAAATCATTGCACGCACTTAAGTAAGGATTATTTCTGTCTCATCCTCATTGCTAACAGCTTCAATAATATCATTAATGTCTTCTAGGGTAACGGAATGTATTTTCCAGAAATTTTCAGTTTGAAATTGTTTGTAAAATTGAGTTGAATGGAAAGCAAATGCTGAGTTAAGAAACTTTTTTCCCCAATTCATTCTTGTTATCTTCTAATCATTACTATTCTTATGCATTTGTGTAATATAAATGCAAATTAGAAAAAAAGATAGCATTTTCTTCCCTGTAATTATTTTTTCCCTTTATTGATGTAGAGGTTGTTTTGATCCATTGGTGAGCATAAAAAGTTTTTGAGTGGTTCCCTAATACTCGATAATGGTTTTTCTCCTACAAAAGTTCCACGTGAAGGAGACAAGTAATTTTGATCATAATTGTGGCTGTACTTTCTACTTATTTATTTGCTACCAAGAGGCTGTAAATAAGAATTTATGATCAGGTTAATTTTTCCTTCTTAGTTCACTTAAACAAAAATAAATATTATACTGTCCATGTATAGCTTTTTCTCAATTTATCTGAAAATTAAACTTTGACACATTCTGCAAGCTTTTTCCAAAGTTGATTGGAATTCTTAGATATATTAATTAGCTTCTTTAGATAATTGTTCTGGAAAATTAGAGTGAAACCTCTTAAAAAAATATTGGCTGCTTGTTCTTAAATAATGCAATTCTTAGATTCAATGATTCATAGGGAATTAGTCTTTCAGTGTTCTTCCATGTGTCACATCTTTATTTGTGAATGTGCTCTGTAATTTGCGCATGTGACTTGTGCAATCACTCTTCTTTTTATGGATGCATAATATAGTTGTACAAAGACACATTAATTAAGCTCTTTGACCTATGCTGCCTTCAATTTTTGACCCTGTGGAAAGCATGAAGTAAACTTGGGACAGAATTATTATTGGGTTGCTTTGAACCTATGCTGCACGAAATGTCAGCTTAAAAATTCCAGGACAGAAATATTGACATTAGAACAGGATATGGTTTTTGGTGGTGAACATGATACACCACATCAAAATGTCTTCTTTATATCAAAAGCCTGCCTGCTGTTGTGATGTCTGCACAAATGTATACACTGATTGGTTGTTTCTTTTTTTTTTACTATATACATATATTTCCATGTACATCAATGAAAATCTTTGACTATGTCTACTAAATAAGTTTGGTCTCTTGAAATTATTTTGAGGGGATTCTCTACAGCCAAAAAATAATCTGAGAGGAACGATGGTGGCCCATTTTTGTATCACAACAGGACAGATGCAAGTAACTTTCAGGTATTTCTGTTGTGATTTATTTGCTTTATAACTTCTATGTAAATTAGAGGCATCATTACTTGCTTTATACTTTATGATGAATCTTGTACTGTGTTGCATCTATTTATGCAGCAGAGGATACATCAGGAGCAGTGGTCCAACACATGGGACACTTTAAAGTTACTTAAGCAGATCTGAGGCCCAAGGTATATTTGCATTAGCGGGAGTTGATTTTGAAGTGATCCATCAGTGTCGTGTTGCTTCCTAAAGAAACTCAAGGTGATCTTAACATATACAATTATCAGTTATACCATAGCTAGTACATGTTATTTTATGGTCATTAATCTGATTAGGATAATAGCAGAAGTAAAAATAAATAAATAAATGGTTAATTTTATTCTACTACCCTATCAAATTGCAAGGTAGTCCATGAAAATGAGAAATGATGCTTAATTTTACTGATCATAAATTCTGGGGTTGGCAAGAGTATTCTGCTCTTGAGTTTTTCTTCTAAGCTTGAGTAGCTTAGCTTCTGATGGTTATAAGGAGTTGGCAAATTTCTTTTTTTTTTTTTATTTTTTTTTTATTTTTTTTTTTTATTTTGTGGCATGGTTGAGTTTCCCTTTTGGCAATAATATTTTTATTTTGTTATCTTAACTATTAAGATCATAGCTTAATATATATTAGCTAATTATAAATGTTTAGTGATGAAATCTAATTTTAGCTTTATTAATGGTAATGGATTTAAATCCTTTGAATGCTTAATGGAGCCAAAACCTACTTGCCCAGATACTGAGGTTTTAGCTGGCTTTGGTTGTCCTTATTCTATAATATTAATTTTCTCTCTTTTGTCTCATTCTCCAATTAGTAACTGACTCCCATGAACCAATTTTAGAAGCATAAATTACTGGGATTTTCAAGGTCGATCTCATAACGACACTAGCTATTTAGTATCCAGAAAGTTCATTTTATTTTAAGTGTGTTGCATTGTATTTTGTTTTCATGATGGGAACTATAGGCTGATTAATGATTCAGTTGTCCATGGTTTTGCTTTTGTTGATTGTGCTACTCCAAGGTTTTGGGTTGGCTCCATCAAGCATGATGCTTCATGTGCTGCTTTGGGGCTTTATTGATGCAAAGTATGCTCTTCTACTCTACTGTTCTTTTGACAAATTCAACTATACTGCCTAATTTGACAAATTCTACTGTTCAACTACTCATTAGCGGCTGAAATTTATATCTGCATTTCTGACTATTTAGATATCTCATGAAATTTTGATGTATAATTTCATTTTACACAACTATACAAATATATTGTTGATGGTAGTTTTTCAGTGTAGGGTGTGAACACGTGCTTCCATTGTAAACCGCTACTTAGTGCTTGGTAATCTCAATGTAGAGAAAATATCTGCTGTCCTTTGAGTGTGGTCTTCAAAAGAGATTGCCAGTCACCTTTGATACGGTATCTATTAGGTAAGTAATCCCAAAAATAATTCAGAATCCTATTACATATGTAGGACTTGTTTAGGAAATATCCTCTTTTTGTTGATTCATGATCTAATAAGGATTTTCTCTTTAATGCGCTAGATTTTATTTGCTAAGAACACACTTGTGCTGTATCGACTCATGCCTTTCCCTTGGACTATAGTGGCCATTTCATGTCTAAGTAACTTGATTATGTTTGTTTGAAGAATTGAGTTTTCAATTCATTAATTTATCACTAAGGAGTTACACCCTTTATATAGGGAGTATACGATCTCTTAAATCTCCTAATTATGTCAATTATGGATTACACAATATTTTGTCTGACATAATTATGAGATTACATAATCTCTAGAATATTCTGAGATCGTATACCTGACATAACTAAAAGATTACATAATATTCACTTGATTACAAAATATATACAAAATATTATGAAAATCTTAATACTTCCCCTCAAGTTGGTGCGTAGATGTCACACATGCCCAACTTGTCTAACACTTGTGAGAAAATACGTTTGGAGACAGCCTTGGTAAGAATATCAGCCAATTGATCCTCTGATCGAATCTTGGGCAGTTCAATAATCTTTTCATCCAGTTTTTCTTTGNTCTCCAGACACTGTTGTAATAAATTGGCATACGCAAAGTAACTAATGGTGAGTTTGAATTTGAACCTAATAATGAACCAGAAATTGTATGTTAATTTCTTGTATTTCTTCTATTATGTGACTTCAATATGCTATGTATATGATATTACAGAATGTGCAGAGTTCAAAGGAAGATTGAGGTCATTCTTGGTATGCAAGTTGGGGTAGGACTAGTTCTTTATATTGTTTCTCGAAGACAAAAGGACTTTGTTTCTGCTATCTTCATTGATGCTGTCCTGAAATTTGATTGAGTGGTGGAGCCCCCTTGATTGCACCTTCATCCAGTTGCTTTACTGCTTGGATTTGTTTTATGGGTTCTGATTTGGCGATTTCTCAAGTATGTTGTCAAGCAACTTTGCAAAATGCTGTTTGTGAATATTGTTTTAATTCATTATTTGCACTATCAGCGTTGAGTTTCATGTCTATTTCACGTAATAAAATATTTATTCTTGTTGAAGATTGTTAAATGTGAAGCCTTAAAGCGACACCGTTTAACTGAAGCCAAGAAATTCCAAAACGACACCGTTGTGACTTAAACCGACGCTCAATCCTGATCGTTGGTTTGAATCCAGATCTAACGGCTGAAGACTTAAGCTGAGTCCAACCTATAAAAGCTGATGACTCTTTAGTTTTTCATTAACGCGTTTTATCTCTCTGTTTTGATATCTCTCTGAGTTACAAATTAGGATTCAAGATTAGGGTTTGTTCGTGTGGGTGTAAATCTGCGGGAAATCTGTCCATTGAGTTGTGTTTCTTAGTGGGGAGGGAACCTGGTGTAGTGTTCTTATCTCAGATTGTAGGTTTACTGTTGTTGTTTCAAATCCTGTTTGATCTTGGTTGAAATCTTGTAAGAGAGAGAGGTTGAGGGTTGTAACCGTTCTTGATTGAAATAGAAAGTGCAGCGAGCATCCATATTCTGGAGCTCAACGTGGACGTAGCTTGTTCAATATTGAACAAGTGAACCATGGTAAATACTGTGTGTTGAATCTGTTTGGTTTGCGTTGATTGTGTGTTTGTTGGTTGATGTTTGCTTGATTGGTTTAAGATTATTTACAACAAAGATATTAAATATTAGCAAGTCTCTGCTTGGTAAAATGAAATAAAGTATTCAAGCTTCCTACATTTAATGAGCAAAGCCTTGAAGGCAGGTTTGAATGTTGATTTGCGAAGCTAGATTTTTCTTAGAAGAATTATTTTTGTAGTAATTTTTATGAGTTTTAGTAAACATTTATGGTACTTCTAATTTGTAATAAATTTTTGTAGAATATGAGTATAATAGTAATATCTATAACAGAATAATTATATATGTAGTCGTGAGAAAATAATGTGATCCATTACCATATAGTGTAGAGACGTGATAGTTGCAGGGCCCTTCTATTTGAACGAAATAGAGAAGCAACAGGAACAAAATAATAACAGTTAAACAAAACAAACAGTAAACAAAGAATGTAATACACGCGATTTACCCTAGTTCACCCAATGTAGGCTACATCCAGCTGAGTCAATATTATTGCAATATGCCTCACCTCTCTCGTTTACAATGAATGAATTGTTCTCTCACCCATAACAAGAGAAAAGTATGTTTATATACTAGGTTTAAGAGATTAAACCTAGTTTTACAAGAATTCCTATTCCTAAGCCCAACCTCAGCAGCGGGACCCCCGAGTGCGTCTCCGTTACCCATTAATGCTGAAGTAGTCGACAACTCCAACACTATTGACTGATACTTAGGAACAGTTCAAGTTTCAATTTTCATTTGGAATGTAGAAACATGACGAGTCCTAATCTCTCTAATTAACAGGTTTCCTTTTGACTGCTAGCTTTGAATTGTCGCTAGAAAAAGTTGTTCGATTTCTATTTAGTGAAGAGATGTGATAGTTGCAGTGCCCTTGGTATATAATTAGAGTGATCCCTGGGTACAATTCAAGATTCAATTTTCATTTGGTGGTTGCCTTTTGAGTGCTAAGTTTGATTTGTGGCTAGATAGCCCCCACACCAGAGAAGAAAAATTCCACAAAAGTACCTAGGTGTAGGCCAGCATGTTGCAGCTAAAACAAATCTTTCCAACACTCCAGGAAGATTTTGAAAAGAAAAATTCCACACCAGAGAAGAAAAATTCCACAAGAGTAGCTAGGTGATTTTGAAAAGAAATTACTGACCATGAAAGACAGCATTATTATCTATCCTTCTCCAGGAAGAGGCCACCTGGTTTGATGCTGTCACTACGATGCTAATTTTGTTCAGTTTCCGGCTTCTCCGACTTCTTTTGCTGGCTTAAGGCTTTAACCCATTAGCCAATAATTACTAACACTTTTTATGTACATGAAATTTTAGTAATTTGAGGAATGCTATGGAGCCAAGTGACGAATTCATGGTAGATTATGGTCCATATTTAACTCGTAATAAATGGCCTGGAGTTATGTGTGACTTCAGCATTCTTGGGAATATTTGTTAACAGGAGGATATGGCAAGAATCATGCTCCCAGTGATATCATTCAGCTGATTCTTAGAACTTATATGAGTCAAATTCTTAATAATCAAGTTTTCACTACTTTCAGGTGTCCTTTATAGACTCTTGGTTCTTATGTTTGAGTCCAATTAAGAGGATACTTCTAAAGACAATGAGGAAATCTGATGATGGAGGGAGGAATGTGCTCTAGAAGCAGATTTTTTATTCATTCGGTGACCATTATTACATCAGAAAAGAACTTAAGATACTGAACCTTCTCACTGGGTATAGAAGCTTTGTGTTATGGCCTGCTATCAAATTATGCTCTCTTAATGTTGTCAACCTAAAGTTATATTTTCCTTCTTGACAAATTTGGTGGAGTAAGATGGCAAGGGTTCGGATTTTCAACACCTGAGGAATTGTCATCTCTTCTTTCTTGCACGTCACTCCTTTTAGAAGGGGAATAAGGTAACCAAAGCACGTAGTATATTCTTGACTTTTAGATCATCTTGAGTTCAACAAGCAGTCAAGCAAGACTCTTGAATTTAGTGTCCTGTCAAGTTTTGTAATTCTGTGAAAAAGATTTCTGGTTACAACTTTCCTTTTGTGAAAGAACATAATTTATACTCTGCATTTGCTGTGAAAAGCATGGCTGAGAATTCTCGTTGCCAAAGGTGGGAATTACTTTGAGTATTTTAAGCACAATGAGAGGATTTTGTTGAAGAGGACCTGAGTTATAATTTCTGAAAGCAGCCGATAGAAAATGAAAAATGGATTACGTTTAGAGTTGAGTGAAATATTTTGGAAACTCTGGGCTCTTTTTTTAATTTGTCTTTTGTTCGGCAAATATAGTACTCTGTGTAACATTCTTAAGAAACATATTCAATATCAATCATTAACATAAGGAAACATGCAAGTAGAATGGTAAATGGAGAAGATAATCTAGTTGGTTAATTCAGGTTAAATCTCATACCGCAAAAATAAATGGTTTAGGGATCAATCTCCTTCAATACCAACTTCAGAGAGGAATCTGTTGAAGTGCAAAATGGAATGCAAATAACATGTTTCCTTAATTGTGAAACAATATTATGTTTCCTTATTCTAGGAGATTTTAGATATTATTACAATATTATATTTTCTTATTATATAGCTTAATTTTTGTATAAATAAGCAATGTTGATCAATTATAATCAATTCAATATAATTGAATTCATTAAATTATCTTTTGAGTCTCCTTTGCTCATAATTTCAACAGAATTTATTTTTTGAATTAGGTTTTCTCACGTCTATTGGCATCAGAGTAAGAGGGTTGAGTTGTGCCTTTTTTTTTTTTTTTTAATTATTATCTCTAAAAGGAGTCAAATGGCTCTTTTCTAAAAGGCAAAAAAAACTTTGATTTGTATTTGTGTGATACAAAATGAGTTCTTGAACTGTCTATATGAGGCTTGGAAATGATTCTTTCAAATAAAGATATATTCTTCCTTTTAATTAAGAAATGAAGGAGCTAAGAAACACTGAATAAACCCAATGTACCTAGAATTTTAAACAAACAAATGCTAATAAAATGATAAGATAATAAAAAGAAAAAAAGTTAAAAAGTAAGGGAAGGACCAGTAGAGAACCAATAAAGAAATTGTTATGCCCGGGTAATTAAGGGCTGACGTGGGAAAGTCACGTGATGAAGAGTGACCTGCTCCCGTCAGAGAAACAAGCACACGTCAGGCTTGCCAGATGATATGAGGCTCCCACGCGTCCATTTCCCTGCAATAAACCGTGCGAAATCAGCTTGGAAAGAGGGTAATGGGACATAAAGCCGGGTTATATCCTGACAATCACACCAACCCATGGATTTAATGATGATTACATGCTTCAGCTTGATATAAAA